GAGAGAGAGAGAGAGAGAGAGAGAGAGAGAGAGAGAGAGAGAGAGAGAGAGAGAGAGAGCGCACAGAGGCCAGAGGTCAGCTTTGAGTGACTTCCTCAATTGCCCTCTGCCTTAGATTTTGAGACAGGATCTCTCACTGAACTTGGACATCACTAATTCAGGTGGACTGACTGGTCAGAAAACCACAGGGATCCCCTGTGTGTGCCTCCCCAGGGCTGGGATCACAGGCCTGTGACCTCTGTGTGTCTGGCTTTTATGTGGGTTCGGGTGATGGGGCTCAGGCTTCATGCTTACATGGCAGGCATTTGACTGCCAACCTTTCAATAGTTCACTTTCTATTTTGTTTATTTGTTTTTACATTGATGTATTATTATTGTTGCATGTGCATGTGCATACAAGGGTGTATGTGTGAAGGTCAGAGGATAACTTGGAGAAATCAGTTTTCTCCTTCCGCCATGTTGGTTCTGGGGATTAAACTTAGCTTGTCAGGCAGTGCCCTTGTCCCCTGGCCTTTTATTTTTCTTCGGGTTTGGGGCCTGCCCCAGGCTACATGGCGCTGCAGAACCCTTCTTCTGACTCTCCACTCATCTCTTTCTGAACTGAATCTGTTTCCGCCATCCCCACTCCCTCCACCCCAGGATGTCTGCATCCACCAGTCTCTCCGTGTCTGTTTCTCATTCCACCCTTGTCTGTCCTTGATCTTAACAGTGGGCATCAGCACTCATCCTGTGCTCACACCAGAGACATAGCAGGTGTCCCCAGTGTTCTTCTCTTCCCGACCCCGCCCAGCGGCTCACACTCCTTACCTAATGGACACCCGAACTTGTCCTGTTTGCTGTCTCTGTGGCATTGGGGGCATAAGTTTGGGGCAGGCTTTTCTCTTGCCTCCACAGACACTTCTCGCTGTCTCGTTTTCCTTCCCTGGGGTCCCTGCACACACAGCAGCCAGCAACTGCTTCCCCCAAAACTCTAAGGCATAGAGCTTAAGCTGTGCTTTTTTGTTGTTTTGTTTTTCGAGACAGGGTTTCCCTGTGTAGTTTTGGTGCCTGTCCTGGATCTCACTCTGTAGACCAGGCTGGCCTTGAACTCACAGAGCCTGGCTCTACCTCCCGAGTGCTGGGATTAAAGGCATGCGCCACCTCTGCCTGGCTAAGCTATGCTTTATGAAGCCCAGGTGTCTGTCCCCTGCTGGGCTCTGAATGCTTCAGCCACATCCTGCTCTTCTGTTTGCAGTTCTGATGCATGTGCTTCCTGCCAGCTCCTCTCTCCCCGTGGGCCTTCTGCAAGCCAGATCTTGTTCTCAGATAGGCGTCTGCTTGGCACTTGGCTGAAGAGCACCTGCCCTCGCATTACCTCATCCTACTTCTCCCCTGGTCTCAACCCCTCTCCCAGGCTTGCTCACTTGCTGGTCTTCCTGTTCTAGGATATAAGCTCCTTGAGGAAAGGAATGTGTCCTTCCCAGAGCTGTTTCTCTAGTACCAAGAAAGAGCCTGGCACTGGTTGGGCAGTTAGCGTTTGCTGAATGAATAAAAGAGACAGTGGCTCTTTCTCTCTCTCCAGCCCCCGCCCCTTTCTGTGTGTCTTGTCTGTTACTGACCTCTCTGTGGGTCATTTTGGTGAGCTTGTTTCAGTTCCTTCTCTCTTTGGACCCCCATCTCCTCCCTTCCATGTCCTGCCCCAGTTCATCACCCATCCTTCCTGGGCAACACTCGCTTTCTGGATGCCCCTGACCTGATGACTTCCTTCCCACCTGTGGATCCCATTCTCCTGCCCACCTAGAGCCCCCTTTGCCAGCTTGGCTTTTGGGATGACAGAGCCCAAAGCAGAAACAGCCACCTCTGCCAGCCTCAGGAGCTCCTTCCAGCAACCTGGCTCTGCCTTTCAGAGGGACGAACGAACGGGTGCTTGGCTCTGGATTCCCTGATGGCTCCTCGAGCTCCCGTTATCCAATTAGAATAAACTCATCACTTCTGAGCAGCTGCCTCCTGATCGCTGTCATTCTCAGAGCTCCGGGAGAATACAGGCTATTTGCATAACTAACCCAAGGTGGTAAATTAATCCTCATTTGCACAGAGGTCCCAGAGCTAACTGATTTAAGGTCTGATAGCTAGGACAGCTGTCTCCAGGCTTGGGTGTGTGTGCATATGACCCTCTCCACACCATCATTTGTTCTGGGAGCTCGGTGGCCCCTCTGGCATGCCATGCTTGCCCTCATCTTTGGGACCTAGCTCAACTTCCCCTTCTAGCAAATTCATCTGCAAGGAAGTGTCTCCCTCTCTCTGTAAGCATACTGATGACACTAAGCCCCCTACATCTCCCCAGTAGGGGTTTCCACTGGGGTCTCCCACAGTGGGGTTGGCACAAGCAGTTAGGTGATGTACATTTTCCTGTCCATTTCCCTTCTCACTGCCCTGTACCAGCAAGGGCAGCGAGAAGGTGAGGAACAGTTCATCACCATTGCACTGTACCCCACTCCAGGAGCATTACCAGTCCTCTAGCCCTGATACCCCCAGGTCTAACTCTAGAGGTAACATTGGACACTAGACCTCAGGCTACTTAGCAGCAAATGAGCTGATAGAAAGAGACGTGCCATCACACTGAAACTCGACATTCAGGGTATGCGCTGGCTGTGTGGAGGACCATGTGTGGAGGAGAGATCACTGGGCTCAGCCTGTGGCTGTGGGTTCAGCACCCTCTCCCCTGCCCTCCTACAGTCAGTGCCTCTTTAACCCTTGAGTGTCGGGGCTGGGGAAGGGCAAAGGGAAAGGACCTTTCACCTGCTTTCTTGGCCCTCTTCCATCCACTTTGTAGCAGATAGTGAGGACTCCAGGCAGAGGAAGAGCAGGGAGCCTATTTAGCAGACTGAGGCTCAGGAGGTGAAGAGGGAGCTGTAGGGCCAGAGTGGCCTGGAGAAATATGACCAAGAGGGCATCTGTAGCTGTGAGTTCTGCTAGGCTTAGGAATGCTGGAGGGTGCTAGAAGAAGCAGACCTGGCTGGGGTGACTGCTGTATTGGGGGGGTCTACTCCTGCCTCCCTTGTGGTGTCTGGGACCCCAGAAGGAAACACCTCTCACTTCTTGTCTAGATCCTGCCACCAGCCTAGGCTATGACCTCGGGGGAGTCATGCCCTCCACTTCAGGCTCAGAGGCCTCTGTGACTCAGTGAGACCAAGCCCCCAGTACCACCCAGCTCCGCCACCTGTGGCTCACCTTCCGCTCGGCGCTGCTGTCCTTCTTGGTCCCCCTAATGAAGTCTGCTTTGCCTTTCAAGTGCTGGTCGAACTCCCCCAGGGTCATGTCCCCTTTCTCCACCAGGACATGTGGCATGTGGGGCTCTGCACAAACGAGATCAGCACTCAGCATGTGCCTGGGTGTGAGGGGCAGGGCAGGAGCTGGAGTCCAGGGACCATTTCTCCATGGGGGGTGGGGGTGGGGGTGGGTTCTGAATTGGAGAAGAGAGTGACACCCCTGAATGTGTGAAGCAGTAGGGGCCAGGGGAAGACTCTTCAGCAGAGGAAGCCTAGCACCACCTTCTTTCCATTGGCCTCAGTTATATAAAATGGACTGAGCCTGAGCCAACTGCCTATGGCGTCTTCTCAGGGCCGGACATGTTATGAGTTTTTAAGGAGGCAAAGAATTACTCGAAGAGTTTCTAGAAAGTGTCACAGCACTCTGCTCAGCCAGCCTAAGGGTTCAAGGCCTCTCGGGCAGGTGGTACCTGGGGCTGGGAATTTTCTGGATAGAGACAGATTTCCCTGGGGGCAAGCATCTGGGGTCTCTTCCCCATCTCCCACGTACCCCAATTCTTGCCCTAACTAGATGTCTTCCACAAGGGCAGCAGAGCCCCTTGTGGGTACCATACCACTGGGGTGGAGAAGGATCTCCACGGGCCGGTCAAAGGTGTGTTTGCTGGCCAAGGTGATGATGATGCTCTTGGCTGAATGTGCAGATGGGGCAGCATCTGCACGGATTTCATGCGTGGGACTCTCCACCCCTGAGTAACACAGAAACACAGGACAGGGGAGGGACAGGTTTAGGAGCAAGAGGAGCTCAGAGGGGGACATGAGAACTAGGCTGGAGATGATTGGCAGCCCAGCCCTAACATGGACTCCTGTCTTGGTATGTGAGCATGGATACCTTCCTCGGCTTCCCCACAGTGTAGACTGTGTCATAGATGGTGCTCTGTGGTCCTTCCTTTCCTGACCACAGGATATAGCTTGCTCTCGAGGCATAGGGTGTCCCCTAAATGGAGCTCAATGCTCCATGGGTGGAACACTTTTGGTGGGTGCTCTTTTAGTGTATCTTGCATTACAATAAACACTCACTGATAAGAAACCATACCCTGTACCCTTTAAAACCCCAAGCTGGCTGGGAGAAGAACCATCCAATCCAGTTCTTAGTCTTGGTTGCTTGTTGGAATTACACAGAGAATTTTACAATGGTCCATAACTGGGATGCACCCCAGAATCTCTGGGGTAGAGGCTAGGCTGTAGTGGGGGTTTGAATATTCCCCAGGAGGGAAACAGAGCTCAGCTTTACAGCCACGGCCTTCTGGAGAAGGCTGAGCTACCTCCCACTCTCTGAAAGATATTTCCCCAGGGAAGTCACAGGGTAGGTAGGGCCGAGTTAACTTGAAAGCTGTCCTAGGAAAAGCTTGCCTATCCCGCTCTGAGTATTTCAGCTTGACTTTTATCTGGGTTAGGTGGTCTCCATGACCTCTGCCTTGCCTCCCCCCCAATCTCTCTGGAGGCTTTGGGCCCAAAGCCCTATCTCCTCTTAGTCTCTCTGTGCCTGGGTAGCTCCCTCTCACCTGCGAGCAGACATGGCCCACGGATCTCCAGTTGAAAGTTGAATTCATATTCCATTGGGTTGGTCACCTCTGTATCCAGGAGAGTGGCCAGACACAGCCCATTCAAGGAGTCCATGGTCTGGATGCCGAAGCAGTGTGGGTCTTTGCTAGAAAGGTGTATGGAGAGGGAGGGAGGAGGAAGATGGAGGAGAGAGGAGGAAGAGGAGGAAGGAGGGAGGAGGGGGAGGAGGAAGAAGCCCGGACAGAGGCAAGCATAAGACTATGAGTCTCAAATAGCTCAGCCTCCTCCCAGCCCAGGGCATCTGTCATCTCATTCAACCTGACTCCAGTGAGGGCCTGGATACAGAGAGAATCTATAATCGCTGCTGGGGAGTACCTGGGATGGGTCAAGATCCAGGCATGGGTTCCCAGAGCCTCAGCCCTCATCCTTCTCACCACAAACCCAGGAGGAGGACATCAGCACCCAACACTTCCCACGTGAGGATCTGAGGCCCAGCAAACAGGCCACTCACCCACGGGCCCATGGTTAGGATTTGACAGAGCTGGCTCAGGTTTGCCTGGTTCTGTTATGAAGTGACTTGTCACTTATCACACTGGCTTGTGTCTATGATCAATCATGCATCTCAGTGACCTCCTTAATGATTTCACTCATTCTGTTCCTAAGCTCGGTCCATATGGCTGTCACTCACAATCCCACAGGGCCACCATGCATTTATTTCTTCCCTACACTCACAATATCACCACCAGCACTAACATCCTGGCTGTGTCTCCTTTGGTCTTACAAAGAACATTTCTTTGGGTCCCCAGGTAAAGGGCACCCGCTGAGCATAGTCAAGCTGCTTTTCCGGTTCATAGTCAAATTCCCATTTTCCTGGTAGTGAATGGGAGCCCCCTCTTTCCCATGCCCTGGCAAACACTGTGTCAGCTGACTTTTTAATGTTCCTTGTGTCCGATTTAGGCAGCCGTGAGGTTCATGGGGGGTTGGTATAGATGTCTCAAGAGCGCACCTGTCAATTTTGCCAGCTGGAATGAGGGGCGAGCTCACCAGGGGTCTCTGGTCTACTTAAGTCTGGAATGCCCCAGTAAGATGCTGCCTTTCAAACCCACACTGTAGCCCCATGGGCAGTGCTTGAAAAGTGACTCATGGGCTGATGGTACCTGCCCAGGTCAGCTTTGCCACCTGCTCCTGGCGTCTTCAAGATCTACATGATCTGTTCTGCCACCCTGTGAGCCCGGCTCCTCCTTTCACTCTGCTATAGCCATTCTCAGCCCCGACAACAGCCAATCCAACCCACTGCAGCCTCGGGATCTCTGTACACTCTCTGCCCCAGTGCTTCTCTAGAATGTATTTCCATAGCTTCCTGAGTCCTAGAGCATTGATATGGCAAGTGTAAGGGCCTGGGTTCCATCCCCACAGCTCAGGAGGAGGGGGGAGGCGGAGAGGGGAAGCGGGAGGAGAGGGGGAGAGAGGAAGAGGAGGAAGGAGGAGGAAGAGGAGGAGGGAGAAGGGAGAAGGGAAAGAGGAGGAGGATCATAGCTGCTGTCTAATCCTGGTCTCTTCTATAAGACAGCAGCCACACCATCCTGTCCTCTTTGCAAGACCCTCCCCCCACCCCCGCTCCCACAGTTGCTTCCATAGACAGTGGCCTTAGAGCAGGTATTCACAGATAGTGGTCTCAGAGCAGGTACCTCTCAGGCCGTGGCACCCCCTCCCTTCCCACACTGTAGAAGGACACCCCCTACAGCCCGGGCTATCCCAGCCTTGCAGCCTGACACCTGTTCCCTGTGTCAGCTCCTCCCTAGAACCCTGTCCTCACTGTCAGGCTGTCGATGAAGCGTGGTCTGACCTCTGGATACCCAGGATCAGACCCCTTCCTCATCATCTTAGCCCAAAGAACTTCCCTCACACCACAGTGTTCATGAAATTATGAAATGCATTCGAGCCGCAGACAGAAAGACCCCTGTGACTGTTGCATGATAGTAATGATCTCTTCCCTTCAAATTTTTGTTGTTGTTTGGTGACAGGGTCTCGCTGTGTAGTTATGGCTGTTCTGGAACTCACAATGTAGACCAGGCTGACCTTGAACTCACAAAGATTCATCTGCCTGCCTCTGCCTCCTGCATGCTGGGATTGCAGGTGCATGCTGGGATTGAAGGTGCATGCCACCACACCTGGCTCCCCTCCAAGTTTGTTTCTTTTTTGTTTGTTTTTGTTTTTTGAGACAGGGTTTCTCTGTGTAGCCCTGGCTGTCCTGGAACTCTATAGACCAGGCTGGCCTCGAACTCACAGAGATATGCCTGCCTTTGTCTCCCAAGTGCTGGGATTAAAGGTGGGTCTACCACTGACGGGCCCCTCCACGTCTCTAAACAGCATGAATCATGTTGCTCTATCCATTCTTATCCCAAGCACTCAGTTCTAGGGATTATCATATAGTAAATACTTTAAAAAAAAAATCCCTCTTACGTCCACTGAAACAACCCCTGGAAATTCTAAAGCCTTGCACTTCTGCCAGTACCAAAATGGGCATTTCCGGTAGATTGTTCAGGGGACTCTGAAATAAAAAAGTGCCCGAAAGCCTCCCCCGCCCCTCCCTGTCTCCTTCCTTCTTCCCCTGGCCAGGTTCTGGTGGGCGCAGGGCCTCCTTACCCTTGAGTCTGTTGGCTGGAGGAGTCAGGTCTGTGGGGGCAGAACTGAGGCACGGTCGGGGCACAGATAGCCGGTAGCATGACGCTCACAGCCCCACTGGGCAGCGTGGGGAGCTCCGAGGAGGTGCTGATGAAGACGGTGACATTCTCCATGGGAGCAATGGTCCCCAGGTTGACCACGAACAGAATCCGCTCCAGATCCTCATCCAAGGCCACCTTTCCCGGTGCGCAGGAATGAGGGGCGATGGGAACCCCCTCTTGTGGAATGTTCCCTAAGTGCCAGGTTGGCGTCAGGTACTGTGCAGACCTTGTCTCTGACCCCCTCTAGTCTTACTGTGAGGTAGCTTTAAGCAGCCCCCTTTTGCTGCTGGGGAAACTGAGGCCCACTACGGAGGGTTGGCTTGTCTAAGCTGCTCAGCCAGTGATTAGCTCACTGGCTGGATTCTGTGCCCTCGTGGGTCTGACTGAAGGCTGTGGATTTCCATCAGAAGACTCAGAACCACAAAGAGCACCCCGCCATGGGATCACATGCCCGCCTCACAAACCCCACCCAGACTCCCGCTGAAGCCTCCCACTTCTGCTCAGGATCTTTGTTTTCATCTGAAAGGCTCAAAGTCCCACCGATCACCTGCCCCCCTCCCATAAGAGCCTTCCTAGTCCCCAGTCAGGACTCCCCCCCCCTCTTCTAACACCATCCTTTCCAAGCACAGCCACTTTTGATGTCCCATCATGGCCATTCCTGGGAACACTCTAGCAGTTTCCCCAGGTCATGAAAGATCACAACACACACACCAGAAGGTGCCGTCATGAGTGCTAATTTAAAAATCAGTGTACATCTGGATGTTCATGTTAACACCTTCAGTGTCATCTGGATCCATGACAGCCAGCGGTCTGATTGGCTTACATTATGTACTACTTGACCTGGGCCAAGCCACTACCGTGCTGTGTGGCCTTGAGTCTGACACTTAGTCTCTTTCTAAGCCTCAGCTTCCTCACTCGCAGGACTCACAAGCTGTGCTGCCAGAGCTTACTGCGGCAGAAGTTCTTGGTATGCATCGTTTTAGCATTGAGTGGGTCTGGTGATTCCATTTTATAGGTGTGTGTGTGTGTGTGTGTGTGTGTGTGTGTGTGTGTGTGTGTGTGAGCATGCATGCATACCTGTATACAGGTGCACACACCCATGAGTACATCAAGGCCAGAGGGGATGCTGGGTGCCTTCCTCCACTTCGCTTTCCACTATTCTCTTGAGGCAGGGTCTCTCACTGAACTTGGAGCTTAAGGATTTTTAGCTAAGCTGGCTCATCAGCAAGCCCCAGGGACACTCCCGTCTCTGTTTCTGTCCCCATCCAGTGCTGGGGGCCTAAGTGCAGACAGACACACCCAGCCTTTTATTTGGATACTGGGGATCTGAACTCACGTCTCCATGCCCTATGCATCCAGCTCTCTTACTATGCACCCATCCCCCAGCCCTCAGACAAGTCTTGTTTTTTATCGAAGCTCACATCGCTGGTGCAAACAGGATGGGAGCCGGCCCCTAGTGTGACTCATCCCACCCGGCCTCTTCTGAGCCCAGTGATCTGTAACCTGCCCTTTTTGGATCCTCGCCACACCTTGAATGTGAAAACAAGGACAACGGTCTGCTTTGGAGACAATGAAGCTGAGGTCCACGGGACTCAGGATTGGCTCGAGGGCATACAATCCCAGCTCAGGATTCCTGGCTCTAGTTCAGCACCCTCTACCACGCTGCCTTGCCATGGGCCTGAGGCTCTGGCTCAGGTGGCCTCCATCCAGGCCAGCCTCCCCATGGTCTGTGGGGACTTCTTACCCGTGACAGTGGCAGATCGGATATCCAAATGGCTTCTGTCCAGCTTGGCTTTGTCTTTGATCTGTATGGTCACAACACGATCGGCAATGACCGCCTCAAAACCAACCACTGTGGTGTACTCGTCCATCGGGTACACAAAGAGACCTGGCGGAGCGGAGGGGCCCAGCGTCACCGAGTGCTCAGCCCCACCCAGCACACCCCGCTCCCAGAAGAGGGTCAGCCTTGGATCTGCCCGGGTTGTACTTGGATCTGTGGGTTGCACTCACTGCCCCCGAGGGGACAGAGCAGCCCCGGGCTGGGGCCAGGCAGGTAAGGGCAACAGCAGGCGGTGTGGAAAAGTGCATCTGTCTCCAACCCCCACCAGCTTTTACTCTCGTATGTGAGCGCTTCTGCAGCCAGAAAGTCCGGTTTTCAAGGAAAATGACTTGGGCTGTCGTGTGGGCTGTGTCTGGGCCTAACAGTACAGGTCTGGGTGGTGACTTTGGTCCACGGTCACTGACTTGCCACTGGCACCACCAATGGGTGGGGCTGGGAAAGAGCTAGAGAAGGGTCCAAATGCAGGCCTTTCCTGTCTCCTAACCCCGCTGCGTTGGACAGGACACTCTAAGTCTAGTAGCCCCATCTACAGCAAGCCTCATGGCACCATTTATTAAGCTGTGCACCACATAGTAGGTGTCACACATTTTTATATCCTTATTTTTCCTGAGGTTCTAGGGATTGAACCTAGGGTTCCAGGGCCTTTTACAAGCTAAGCAAGTGATCTACCGCTGATTTCATTCCCACCTCTCTTTTTACTTAGAGACAGGGTCTCGCTAAGTGGCCCAGGCTAGCCTTGAACTTGCTACATAGCCTAGCTAAATCTTGAATCTTTCAATCCTTTTGCCTCAGTCTCTGGAGTAGCTGGGATTGCCAACTAGCATCAATATGCCTGGCTACCTTTTTGGATTCTTCAGTGTGAAGAATATGCTAGTCCTAGAGGTCTTGTTGGTGTTTGGATTTGAATTCATTTGGGGTGTAGCCTGAGATTCTGCATTTCTGTTCAGCTTCTAAGCAGTGTTGAGCTTGAAGCATTGCTTAGAATTCCAGGTCGGATGTGGTGGCACATGCCTGTAATCCAGCAATGAGCAGGTGAGGCAGGAGGATTGCTGTGGGTATGTGGCCAGCTGGGACTACGTAGTCTGTACCAGGCTAGCTAGAGCTATACAGTAACACCCTGTCTAAACAACAAAACACCCAGCCAACCAGTCAAATAAGGAAGCAAACCAAAAAGGAGTTAGGGAGAGACTCCCGCCCACAGTTAACCCCTGGCTTGGGGGAAGGAGAGGTGTGTGGTGGCCAGCCCCTGTCCTTTACCCAGACTACTCCCAGTGATGAGTCATAGCTACATTTCCACCCACCCATTTCCTCTTCAGGTATTGTTACTTCATCTGCCCCTCCTTACAGAACCCAAATCTTGACTCTCCCTGCTTTCCACTCTCCTTCACTTTCAAAGCTGGGGGGCAGAGCTGGAAACCCCACTTTATAGATAAGGGAGCAGACCAGAAAGGTCCCACGCTTGCCCAGTGTCGGCCAGCTAGTAAACCACAGGACAAGGGTTCACTGTGGAGGAGGCGGTTCCGGGAAATCCACACGGGGTTGGTTACCTTGGAAGGGCTGAGCCTCCAGGTTGCCATAGGTGAGGGAGGCCGTCAGGCCCAGGGCATAGCCACTGACGTAGGAGGTGACGTCGGAGGCCGTGAGAGGCAGGGCTGCCCCCGTGGCGCGGTTGAGCAAGCCGGGCATTTTGTTCGTTCCTCAGCTCAGCTCAGGGCCTGCAGGAGACAGGACAGGTGGGTGCTGAGGAGAGGCCCCACAACCCTCCAAGCCTAATCTCATTTGAGTGCCCTAAAAACTGGAGCCTCATGATCTTCATGTACCTTGGGGGACTTCAGAGTTAGTGAGTGTCCTGAGAGAATGGGACTTGGTCCCTGGCATCTCACGTCACAGGTAGAAAAGCTAAAACCTGATGGCGCTCACCCACCATCGGGGCCAGCGCTGAAATGGCTGACCAAACATTAAGGACTTACTTATCCCCAGACTCTGTGTGTGGGTGGGAATGAGGGACTCCCTTCTCACCCCATCCCCGTAAGTCTCCTGATCTCTGGAGCATCACATTTTTTTTTCTCTGCAAAATGAAGGTATTGATTGGGACAGCTCTCTATGTGCTCTTCCTCTGGCTACAGAAAACCAACTCGCTACAGTCAACACTTGGGTTGTTACGAGGTCTAAATTACCAAAGACATCCAAATCAGGACAGTTGCCATCCTTCTGGGTGGGTCTTGCTACCCCCCACACCCAACCCATGGCTAGGGCTGGGACTTCTCTCAGGGAAAGCCCTTGACTCTATCCATGGTCTTCCTTCTCTGTCACCCGCACACAGGTCCCAAGATGCCACCTCTACCTGGACTTTATCTCTTATTGGCATCGAATGTACTCTTCCTGATGGGTGCCAGTGGCCAGCAGGCCCATTCTAGCACTCAAAGTGAGCACTGCCCATCATCCCTGCCACCCTCTTTTACCGACCAATGGCTACCAAAGCCCTTTGAATGCAAACCAAACCCCTTACAGTAGTCCAGGGCCTGTTCCTCACCTAAGCCCCACCCCTCAGCAGCGCAGTTCAAACAGGCGAGCATCTCTGCCACTTCCCCTCCTCACCACGGTGTTTGACACACTGCCTGGAAGTCTGGCCTCACTCCCATCTTTTATCTAGGACCTTTCTCCTCCTCATCCTTCCGAATGGCAGAGGCCAGACTATCTCTGCCCAGCATCCTTCATCCCTCTCTCCATCCCATCTTCTCTCCTGTGTTGTATTTCCATCAGTTCATCGGAGCACCGTTAGTCCCATGAGGCTATTTCGTAGCTGTTCTCTGTGCTGGGATGTGGGGAGGATCTAATTTGTTCTCCATTGGCCTCTGGATGCCAGTTGAATGAAAAGAATAACAAATTGCTTCACCCTTTTAACATATAGACCTTCCGGGTGCTGAGTCTTCAGGGCCGTGATGGAGATCTGATGGGTCTCTGAGGACCTCCCACATAGCCAGATGCTTCTGAATGGTGGGGAGCAAAGGGAGTGGGATCCATGGAGGTGGGGGTCTCTCTGGGTTTTCCTCTCTATGTCTGAGCCAGGCAAAGCTTCCACGGCTGGTGACCTTTTGCCCTCTGATGGCACTATTAGTTAAGTGCTGATTCCTCTGCCCCTTCTCAGGGAAGGTCGTGCTTCCTGTCCCGGTCCTGTTGATGTCCCCACTGAGACTGTCAGGTGCTCCCCCATGGCCTGCCAGCGTCATCTTTTTAATTATCTTCTCCCTTGTGGCTGGAGCCCAGACAGCTCGGCTGGGCTTATCTGCTGACAGGCTGGCTGATAAGTGCAGGCGAGAGCTGGGGGCACACTGCTGGTTCCAGGGTTTTGTTGTCTGTCTTGGTGGCCAGAGCTGAGGCCGACCTCTTGCAGGAGGCAAGCAAAGATGCCAGACTTCATTTCCTGTGTGAGCCACACCCCCTGCTCTATGTGGCCCTCCCTCCTCCTCCTCCTCTTCCAGTCACACTACTGTTCAGACTGTGGATGGGGGAAACCAGCTGGGCAGTGAACTTGGACTTAAGCTTTGGTACATTCTGGGTAGAGGAGGACAAGGGTGTCTTGTCCAGCCCACTCCTCCCACACTGTACCTCACACCCAGAGAGTGCGTGTGCATGGGAGACTCTGCTAACCAAGACCAGACTGACTCTAAAAAGACCCACTGGATGCTGGCCCACAGTAAGGCCTATGACTGACAAATGAGACCCATGAGATTAAAAGCTTCTGTACAGCAGAGGAAATAATTACATGAAGGGTTGGCCAACAGAGTGGGAGAAAATCTCCATCCATCCGACAGAGAGGGTTAATATATAGACTATATCCAGGACTCTAAACAACAAGAAATAAAATGAGCCAATTGATAAACGACTCAAGGAAATGAACTGTACTCAAAGGGTGAACTACAAATGGCCGAAACATTTAAAAAACGTTCAACTTCTCTAGCCACCAGAGAGATGTAAAACCATGCTGAGAGTCCGTCCCACCCATCAGAGTGGCAGCCATATAGAAAATGTGGTGCGCAGCATGGTAGAAAAATTTAAATTCATCAAGCAGAAGGAAGTCACATCATTTGCAGGACAATGGATGCAGCCAGGGATAATCACATTACAGAAACTAAACTGGGAACAGAAGGATAGATACCATGTTTTCTTTCGCTTGTGGGTCGCAGATCTTGTGTTTATACACACAATCATATATACGTATGTGCGTATGTTCATTCATGTATTGTGAAAGTGAAGCAAAATTGTCAATGGAGGGCAAATGGGACCAAGGGAAGGAAAAGAGGTGAGAAAAAGGAGGAACAGAAGTATGTAGGGTTCTCAACAGTGTATACGTGTACAAAAGCTTGAAAATAGTAGATATATTTTAAAAAGAACCTCCTCCCGGGAGAGGTAGACTTTAAGCCTCAAGGGCCCTTATTCATGTACGTTTTCCAGCGCTGATAAGTTCTGCTGTGTTCCAGATCCTTTATAGCCTCCAAGGAGCCGAAGATAAGACACGGCTTTATCTCAGAGAGTTTATAATCTTGTAACAGATGAAACTGGGGAGTCAAGAAGGCAGCAAATGACAGCAAGAATTTATTAAGCGGCGACAACGTACCAAGCATGCATATTGTCTCATCTACTCTTTGCAGAACTGATAAGGTGTTCATCTTTGCTTACAGGACACTGAGGCCTGGAGAGACATGCTTGGCCCTAGGTGTGAGTTTGGTGGTATCTCAAGCACATGCTGCCACAATGGACACCATGTCTGACCTTCTTTCGGAAGGAGCCCGGGATTGTTAGAAAGCAATTATGTTGGATGTCCTCTCCCAGCCTGGGCCTCCAGTGGGCAGCAGGCTCTGGGAAATCCTGAGAGACAGGGCCAAACCCACCCACATGTCTCCAGGTCCATGTGTGAGAGACCCTGGTCCGGCCTGAAGATGGGCTCTAGTACAGGCTGGAAGTTTGGTATGTCAGGGTGTGATAGTCAATTATCTTGATTAGGTTGATTTTAGGTGGGGGAAGACTCACCCTAAAAGTGAACGGCACCATTTCCCAAGTGTGGGTCTCAGAACAAATGAAAGGGAGAAAGCTGGCGTCACATGAGTACTCATGGCTTCTGTGAGTTTAAGGCCATCCTGACGTACACAAACTTCTAGGCCAGAGAGGGCTAGTGAGGCCCTGTCTCAAAACAAAATTTTTAAGAGAGGCCGAGGAAGGCAGGAAGAAGGGTTTTAGAGAAGGGATGTTCTGAGTTATCATTTGTTAGCTGTTTCATGTTCCCCGAGAGGCAGATGGAATGATGGGAATGGCATGGGGTGCTAGACCAGTTTCCTCTGGATCTCATGCTGGATGAGATCCCTGTATGAATGCTGTGTGGTTTTCTAGGGCATCAAAAGTGGCCTTTGGTGGCTTAGAAATGCTGCATCTCAAAGGATGCCTTCTGCCTGGTCGGGACATTATTTGTATTTATACTGGTTCAATAAATATTTATAAAGTTAAAATGAATGACGAGTGTCAGCGACCGCAAGGACACTAAAGGACGCTTGGTGTTGGGTTCCTGTGGGGAACAAGGCAAGTGTGACCACAGACACTAGTGCAGGAGGCAGATGTAAGACTGCACATCTAGAATCTGACCTGTTCTCGTCACCCCCACAGCCACCACGCCACGCCTCAACGGGGCAGTCAGAACAATCCTTTGAAGGTAAGGGCCCAGTCGTGTGACTGCCATGGTTCAAATCCCACGATGTGCTCCATGGATCTTAAGGCCCTTCAGACTAGTTTCCTTTACCCCCCCCCCACAACCCCCCGCCCTGGTTTCTTCCCTTCAGCTCTTCTGTCTCAGGTCCTTTGCACCGGCTGTCTCCACACCCAGAAATAGTCTTCTCCTGGATGTCTACACGACTCGCTCCCCTTCAGGCCTTTGCTCAGGCAGGCGCATACTCAGAGAAGCCCCCTTTCCTGCTTCATTTAGTCTTGCAGCCCCTTCTGTCTACCTTGCCCTCCAGGACGCCCTTGCTTTCTCTTTGTACTTTCTGTAGCAGTCTCACAGGCACATTACAGATAAATGTTTATTCTGGCTATTATTTAGCATTTGCTTCCCCTCCACAGGGCAAGGTAGAGCCTGGTTTTCTCATTGCCAAATCCCAAGCCCCTTGAACCAGCCTTGCACTGATAAGGCAGTAAGGAAACACTCATTATGAATTCATCCACAATCCCAATCCCAAGCTGGCCATTGGGCCTCCTGAGGGAGAGAAGTGGCTACCAAATTCTTCAGTGACTGCTCTGAGGAACCCTTGAGGCTGAAATCATTAAGTTCCATTCCAGTGTGCGTCACCAAGTCCCTAAACCTCCCTTTCCTCCTGCAGCAAGGCCCCGTTCTCTTGTAACAGCCCATTGTTTCTTAGAGAGGATGCTTGGTCATTCTAGGTCCCTGGACCAGCTCCTGGTCATGGCCCATCTCGTTGCGTCTCTCACAGTCTCTCACAGTCACCAGTCCTTGCATCCCATTCAGCTCCTGGGACTCTGCATCCTGGGTGAGGATGTACCTAACCTGTACTCTCTGCAGGATGGGCTGCTGACCCCTCCCTGGGCTGGTACCTCCATGGTAGCAGGAGACGGAGGCCTTTCTTGGTCCCCCATACTGTTCTGAGAACACCACTCTTGTGTTCTGGAAAAAAAAAAAAACTCTCTGAGGGAGCCCTGGTGCCTTTCA